ATGCAAGTGGTAAAGATAAACAGTTACTCTCTGAATGGTTTGAAACAACTCCTGATGAAATGGCATGTTTTTACAGTCTATGTGTTTTGATGTCACTTGTGAAGAAAAGGACCATTCAATCGTATTGGGCCCCTACTGCTACTACTGAGACTCCGTTTTTTCGAAAAGTTATGCCTTTTCGTAGGTTTTTGCTCTTATCAACAATGTTCCATATTTGTGATAATAAAAATAAGCCTCAGAATGACAAAATGTGGAAACTGAGGTATGTCATTGATTACATGAATCAAAAGTTTTCACGGTTATATTTGGCCGATGAAAACATTGCAGTAGATGAAAGCTTGATGAAATTTCGTGGGAGGTTGGGGTATGTGCAATTCAACCCCAAGAAAAGAGCCAGGTTCGGAATCAAATTTTACAAATGTGAGTCAAGCAGTGGATACTGTACAAAATTTAAAATATACACCGGTGCTGAAGTGAAACAAGGCGAAACAGTGGAAGAAGGGGGTGGAGACACTGCTGAGGATGATAAACTTTTGGTGAGCGAGGCCATAGTCATTGAAATGGTCAAGGAATGTTCCGGTAATGGTCATACCCTCACAATTGACAACTGGTATTCCTCACCTCTCCTCTACTATAGATTGAAACATATTGGTTTCAATGTGATCGGCACGGTGAACTCTTGGAGGACAAATATGCCTGACAGCTTCAAAAGTGGAAAACTTGATGTCGGTGAGTATGAAGTTGCGTTTAGCCACGACATGATGGCCCTTAGATGGCAGGACAAGAAAGAAGTGTGTGTCTTGTCTACTTTCCACAGTAAGGGAGACAAAAAAAACAACTGGAAAGAGAGACAGAGTCAGCGGTGAGGTGATTACCAAGCCTGAACCCATCCTCTATTACAACAGCTCGATGGGCGGTATCGACCGAGAAGACCAACAGCTCGCTTCTTTTCCTACGATGAGGAAAGGGTAAAGGGTATAAGAAGATTTTTTTTTACATTTTGGACATAGCTCTCTTCAACTCTTATGTTGTTTTTAAAAAAATCACCCAGAAGAAGATAGGATTTGCTGAATTCAAAAGTAAATTTACGGAGCAAGTGTTCCAGACCAGACAACTACCGGCCTACAAACGAAGAGGGCGGCCATCAACATCTGAAACCCCTCTACGGCTTCAAGCAGCTTCTTGGGGTCATTTCCCAAGACAAATCCCACCTAATGAAGTAAAGCAAAACCCATCAAGACGCTGTAAAGTTTGTAGTGCACAAGGGAAGCGTAGTGACAGTCGGTGGGAGTGCGAAATGTGCCTTGTTGCGCTTCACCTACCCGAATGTTTCAAGACATATCATACTAAGTTGAACTTTGCTTGATATCTTTTTGAGTCTACAACATGTCAATCAGTATTTTAAGGCAGAACAGTAAGATTATTTTTAACTTTTATAGTCAAAAATTTTTAAAAAAGGCAAAAATAAAAAAAATTTAAAAATTTTTTTTTTGTATTATATGGTATAAAAAAATAATAAAAATACTTGTAACCAATAAAATGTTTGTTTTTTTTAATCTAAATTCAATTCTGATTAGAAAAATAACAGTATTTGATATACAAATACAAAATTCTGAGTGCAGGTAAAAATATTGTAAATTGTGTAAAATTACACAGAAATAATTCATTTTTTTGGCCCGGTTAGGTGTAAAAATAAGTTTAAGCGAAGGGGTTAAAAGGTTTAGAAGGTTTAAGTGGGCCAATGTCAGACTTTTTGATCTACAATGTTTACAAATAAATAATTTAAAAGCAGATGTTTACTTTCACCAACTGTGTTTTGTAGGTTTGAATAATCACAACATTCTGTATTAGCATTAGTCGTGATTTGAAATAGTGCCACAGTGTTTCTACAGAGTGCAGCACAGAAAACTATTTTACTTTTTAATAAGTCCAAATGTATTAAACCCCAATCGCAGCACACCTGTGCACTGAACAACGTTTAAATTCTCCAATGTTAAATATTAAAACATAAAAACCTTTATCAAAGTATTATAAACAATTAAAGGGATGACTTTTTTAAAATTTATGACAACAGCTAATTTGCAACCAAAAGGTGAGTGAGCGTAGCGAACGATCATCAACCTGGAGGCGAGTAAGCGTAGCGAACGAGCTAACCTGAAAACAAGTGAGCGCAGCGAACGATTTCCAACCTGAAGGTGAGTGAGCGTAGCGAACGAACTTCAACCAGGAAGTGATTGAGCCATGCGAATACTTATGAAGTTAAGCGGGGCAAGGCCCGCGGGTACAGCTAGTCTTAATATATAAAAGAAAGTTGTGTTAGTTACAGCGTTTATAACTAGAAAACTAGGCTACTGAACCAATTGGCATGAATTTACAGGGATATTCCTTAGGTACTAGAATAACATAATAGCCTGTTTCCGTTTCAAAAACCCTTAAGGGAAGCATCCTATGGCCCTTTGCAGTTTACATGTTAATCTAATGGAAGAATGTTTTATTTTGTTTACCATGCCATGTTTGTCATTTCTTGATTAAATGAAATTAAGGAAACAGCTGTTGTAATGATAACGTAATTTTTAAAAACAAATCTATGCATAACAAATGAGAGCTATCAAATAGGTTTCTATTCCATTTGTTTTTTACGAATATTTGTTGTCTAATGTAACTGAAGGCAAGTGAGCGCAGCGAACGAGATCCAACCTAAAGGTGAGTGAATTTAGAAATCTATATATATAAAATCCAATGTATGTTTGTATGTTTGTCCTTTATGGACTCCAAAACCGCTCGACAGATTGTAATGAAACTTTCAGGCATTATTAAGCATTATTCAAGGATGGTTTGTGTGAAGTTTGGTGCAGATCCGTCAATAGGGCTCCGCCCCAGTGGCTCTTGAGTTTTCCATGTTAACCTTATGAGTACTCATATTTAAATGGAATTAAAGAATCTTAACAGCTGGTTCAACTACACAATTTGATTCTGTGATGTTAAATAGCATTAAAAGTTGATAAGTTTACCAACAGGGTGCAGCACAATTATATTTTTTAAATTTATGACAACAGCTAATTTGCAACCAAAAGGTGAGTGAGCGTAGCGAACCAACTTCAACCTGAAGGCAAGTGAGCACAGCGAACGAGCTCCAACCTAAAGGTGAGTGAGCGTAGCAAACGAACTTCAACGAGGATCTTGAAAATGAACAAGCATTTGACATAAAAGCATAGGACAGGACGACGTCTGTCGGGCCAGCTAGTACTCCATAAATTCAACAAATGGTCATTCATGGGAACAATTGAGGAATTCGGAATATACAAGGCCGTAAAACAGGACCTGCAAAATGTTTTGAGAGACCTTATAATCTTTTGTATAAAATATTATGCATAATAATATAAGTATTATGCATTAGATACAGCAATAAAAATAGTCAAGGAGGGATACAAACAAAAGTACAGCTAGTCACAGCTAAGCTGGCACTTGGGGCCAGGCGCGGCAGGGTAGGCAGTGTAGGCGGAGGGAGGGTGGAAGGCAGGTAAAGACCTTTCTGCCAACATTCCGCTGCTGACTCACGGGGTTGGTGCCCCCGCATGATGACTAAAAAAAACAGAAATTAGAGAAAAAAGAATCACTTATCTTCAGGCGATAAAAAGACACAGATTAGAGGGTAGACCCATTATATACATGGATGAGAGCTATGTATGTACGGATCATGTGTCGGGTAAAATGTGGTCGGATGGATCGAAAAATGTATTGCATACTCCAGTATCTAAGGGGGAAAGGTTAATAATTGTCCATGCTGGAGGGGAACAAGGGTTTGTCCCCAACGCTTTGGCTATGTGGAAAGCAGGGAAGAAAACTTTCGATTATCATGATAACATGAACAATTCAAATTACATTCAGTGAGTCACTAACTAGTTGTTACCAAATATACAGCCCCGATCGGTATTGGTAATAGATAACGCAAATTATCACAACAAACAAATTGACAAAGCGCCAAACTCCAATAGCAGAAAAGAAGACATGATCAAGTGGCTCGCTGAGCGAAATATCCCCTACGAATAGTCTATGTTAAAACCATAACTTTATAGAATCATCCAGGAACATAAACCCCGACATGTAAAATACGTCCTAGACGACATCCTAGAAAAGGAAAATCAAGGCCACAGTGTACTACGTCTTCCTTCTTACCATCCGGATTTAAATCCAATCGAGATGATTTGGGCGGAAGTAAAGAACCATGTCGCATCACACAACACCACCTTTAAATTTGGCTAATAATCACAGTTTGTTGAGTACTTCTCACTCGATCTTTGAAGATTCAGTCAAGGTAATCTTTTCGTAAAAAACAGGTAAGCTCTGTATTATTATTTATTAATTTTTTGCACTCATTTAAAAAAGTACAAATTGTTAAACCTCCTTAGAATTAAGATATTCCTATTTTATTTATCCCAGTGCCAGCGCCTTCACTCGGACCGCGCGGTCAGTTGATGCAACCCGCACGACTGCAGGCAGTGTTTTTGAACTAGGTTAGTAGCAAATTTCTATCGATCGGTCAAGTGCCAGCTTAGATGTGACTAGCTGTAAACAACATGAAAAATGAAAATTAGGGGAAGGAATGAAAGAAACAATGACACTGGTGTATATCAGTCAGTCTGGATTCTACTCCCGTGTCACCTGCCGCTTAACCGATCGATTTTGGTCATTATACTTGTTTTGTCCATGTGAGTGACTAAATTAAAATTGTAATAAAAAAAAATTAATGCTTTTTAAAAAATCAACGTGTTCTCATGAACAAAATAAAGAATACGATATTTGTCTGCAGAAGGATCAAACCCGGTCACAAGGTATTTCAAGGACACAAGGATCACTCAACAGCAGGTAATTGCACCAGTACATGTATAAGTTAGAATACTAATAAAGGGTTCCAGAGGTAGTAAGTTTAATCTGTTTGAGAGTCACTGATCTGTATTCCCCATCAACATGTAAACATACAGTGAGTAAAATATACCTACCAAGTGCAAGGATCCCCCTGGAAGAGACCGGAGAGAAATATGTTGGACATGTGCATAAACAAAGCTCCCAAACCTTGCTTGGACGTGTCGTAAAACCATATCCGCCATGGCCTCCTCTCAAACCTCGGCTCACAGTAACGCTTCACTAGAAAGATGAAACAATAAAAATTTCAACACAATTTGCAAAGACAATATTTGTAAACAACAGGGTTTGAGATACAAACTATTTAAATTAGAGTTGAATGGATTTCTGTTTAATTCATTCCAAACTAGGATTAGGTTAATGTTTGTCAGCAAGAATAAATTAGGTTGTAATGTACAACATATGAATAAGAAATAATGTGTCATTGATTCTAAAAGTTGTTATAGGCCTAGTTAGTTAAAGTAATACTGCACATGAGTTAGTTGTACATGAATAGCAAAACCTAATGTTACTCGCACTCAGAACCATTTCCTGCTCTTTGAACGCTTTTTAACTTCTATCAATCTCTATTTTGTGCCTGATAATGGATGACCGGTGTGTCCAAAGTGTCCAATGGTCCAGCCCATGGTTAGACTAATTTTAGCAATAAGTTAAGTCACTGTATTGTTTTTGATACTTAGTAGTTTATTTATTTGTTGTATGGTGTGCACCATTTTTACATTATATTATGTAAGGAATAGCTTAACAAATAAAAGTATTTCATGAACAATAATGATTTTAGTATCAATAACTGGGATCTCTAGCCTACTTAATTCAGAGGAAGCTCTTTAAACTGCTAACAGTAGGCCTATATTAGTTAAATTGCTTAGGTTGTTTCGTGTTTGGCTTACCGATAAGGCAGGTAAAGGCAAGAGCTGCTAAAATGAACTGTAAAAGCCATCCAAAAATCCCTGTTAGAGCCCCTTTGGAACAATGTTCATCATTTCCAAGGACATCTTCATCATTGGAGAGGCTTAATGTGTTGATACTCGTCTGAAAAAAGGAATTAAAAGGTAAGTTACTTTAGTATTATCTGGAGGCCACTTTTTTTTAGAGGGATTTTTTTACTGGAGACCAAAAATAACTACATAATTGGAAAGAACATACTTTATTGACTTACGGTACTGTCCAAATTTTACATGATTACGACTAACCCTCCGAGTGTCCATAGTTTAGGCCTTAATGTCCGCCTATTTTTGGCGCATTTGCAAGGTTTTATTAAAACGGATCTGAGAAGCTTAAAACAATGTTAATTCTACTGTTCTATATACCATTTTGTTTGGAAAATCATGGGCTTCAATATCTATATCTATAAAAGAGGAACTATGTATGTATATATATGTGTATATACGTTATGGACTCCGAAACCGCTCGACAGATTGTAATGAAACTTTCAGGCATTATTAGGCATCTTTCAAGGATGGTTCGAGTGAAGTTTGGTGCAGATCCGTCAAAAGGGCTCTGCCCCTAGAGGGTTTTAAGTGGGCCAATGTCAGACTTTTTGATCTAGAATGTTTACAAATCTATATATTAATAGGCAAGCATGTTTCTTTAAAACCTTTTTTCTCAGCTTGTGTGCATCAAAGGGAAAATCTACGCATACTGTTAGAAAGCTATTTTCCTGTAGGTGTGCAGAATCCCTTTATAAATTAAAATAGGCTCAAATATAAGCACAAAAAATGAATTTAAAATTTTGAAAAATTTAACATGGATATTATGAGTTGTCATGCTGGTGACGAAATAACAACGAAATATAAACAGAAAATCAAAACAAATGGAAGAAACTCCAATCACATGTTCTATTCAAAGTGTGGAATGAAAATAAAGAAGTCTGAACATTAAATATTTTTGGTCGAGTTTCGACCACTGGACGACCTCTAGTAAATATAATTTAAAAGCAGATGTTTACTTTCACCAACTGTTTTGTACGTTTGAATAACTACAACATTCTGTATTAGCATTAGTCATGATTTGAAATAGTGCCACAGTGTTTCTACAGATTGCAGCACAGAAAACTATTTTACTTTTGAATAAGTCCAAATGTATTAAACCCCAATCGCAGCACACCTGTGCACTTAACAACGTTTAAATTCTCCAATGTTAAATATTAAAACATAAAAACCTTTATAAAAGTACTGTATTATAAACAATAAAAGGGATGACTTTTTTAAATGTATGACAACAGCTAATTTGCAACCAAAAGGTGAGTGAGCGTAGCGAACGAACATCAACCTGGAGGCAAGTAAGCGTAGCGAACGAGCTAACCTGAAAACAAGTGAGCGCAGCGAACGATTTCCAACTTGAAGGTGAGTGAGCGTAGCGAACGAACTTCAACCAGGACGTGATTGAGCCATGCGAATACTTATGAAGTTAAGCGGGGCAAAGCCCGCGGGTACAGCTAGTTATACATAAAACATAAGGAAAATTTGTTTCAAAAAAATTGTTTAGGTAAAAAAAAAAATATTTTGGAAAATGTTCAAAAAAAAATAAGTTCGCGCTCAATGAAATTGTATAAATTATAGGCCTATAAATATTTGAAAATAGCCACTTTGTTCTGAACTTTATGAGGATTACAAATATATAATAATATAAGGAAGTAGATTTGCAAATAAATAAGTTATGGGCAAAAAACAGATTTCAGTACATAGCGTTTAGCTAAGAATGCATAGCCTAACCATAGCTAGGAATCTGGCTGATAATTTACATCAATATCACTACCTAGGCCTACTTCTTCAGGATCATCAACCAGCCCTTCAAAATCACTTAAATCTTCTTATAATGCACCACGTATATCACTACTTTTGATTTTTAACACTAAAACAATGATAAACGTGATAAAACACATCAGTCATCGGTCCGAGGTTAACCAAGCTGTTTACAAATACGCACGTCAGCTGTCTGCTACAGTATTTTCGGAACTAAAATGAATAGCGCTTAGAGACAGACCTCCGGAGAAAGCTCTGAATCTAACAAAAAGAACGATACCTAACTCGATCCAGTTCAATCCGATTCAGTCAGTCATAGAGCCTTCGCCGTAAACGATGTTCGTGTGTCGAAAAATCGACAAGTGACACTACACAAAGTGTGTTGTGAGTCTTGATTTTTCGACAAGTGACGCTCGGAGAGTTAACGACCTTTGAGTTCTGCCTACCAGAAGGCAGCTATGTAGGAGAGGATTGAGTTGAAACGGAGGCCACCCTTATATAGCGCGCTGCGGCGGTTATGTTAGGTTGGTTTATCAAAAATATGTTTTAGGATTTTCCTTGTTTCGGTCAAAAGAACATAACTCATTATCGAGATAAAAACCTAGTGCACGACAATAAATCACTCAGGACACAGACCTAGGATCCAGATACAGGCAGTGACAGGTGATGCCCGCATTCCGGTCAAACTGACCTTCGCTTACTTGGAGGGGATTTAGCGGGCAAAAGTAGGTGACTCATCTGGTATCGTTCAATTCATAACAAAACAAAACTTACTTAAGTAGGCTAAGTTACAAACATATTTATGATAACTTAACCCGACCTAACATAACCGCCAAGGGTGGCCTCCGGATAATACCAAAGTACCGGAATTAACTTGATTTGAGTTGAATGAACAAATAGGTAGGCCTACTAAATAATTACCAACAATTAAATTAACCCAACTGTTTAAAAGGCCAATGTTTTTCATGTTGACATACTTAGCTTCATGTAGGTTATTATTATTGTGTTGTAACTTAGACTATGTAGGTAGCTGAAGAGATACAAGAGATTTATTATACCATTCAGAAAAAAAACACAATAGGCCTAGGTAACGTCAAAACTATGCTAAAAATAAATAAGTTAAAATCAAATGATTTAATCTGACCTGCAATTTAATCTCAAGAAATAAAAGTAAATAACTTACCTGTCCCATAATTTATTTTGTTTGGATTTATATTACACTCAAATAGGTAACCTTACTGTAACCACAATTTTTATTAAAACTCAATTTTGAAAACAAACTTAACCTATAAGTTTGCATCACACGTAAACTAACTAAACTTAGACTTTGAATTGAATTAAATCACAGAAATCAAGGAGATAATATCCAGTAATTTTAAAAACGTTCAAACATAAAGACTTGTGCAATCAAAAATAAATGTAAGAACTAACCAAGGAGAGGAGAGTTAGTAAACAAACTGAAATTTATCGGTACAGTATTTGTTTGGGCGGATACTGAATCTGATCTGAACTGAACTCTCAATCAGAATCAGAGTCAGGGAGTGAGGGAGTCAAGCCTGGTTTACACGGGTCGAGTACGGTGGGCGAGTCAGTGTGCGAGTTGCCACTCGCTCTTTTACTCGCTTGGTGTAGACATGCAGGCGAGTCGAGCAACGGGCGAGTTGATAAAAAGAGGTCAGTTGAGAGCGAGTCGAGTGATTTAGTTGAAAACCGAGTTACTCGGCCCAGTAGCTACCCCCACCACCACGATTTGCCCGCAAAACATCTGTTTACTGCTCTCAAGTGAGTCCAGCGACCACAGAATAAAAATATTTTTTTTATTTTGTGGTCGCTGACAATGAGTTGATCACAACGATCAGTGTTTTTGGGGTTAGTTAGTTCAGTATTTAGTAGTGTATGCCTAATCACCCTCAATACTAAATGGTTCAGTTGAACAGTTGGCCCTGTGTTGCATTGTCTTGCTGTTCGTAAATCTACTCACTCTTATAAAATTCAGTTTTCAAAATTGTTTTACAACTTAAGATCTACAGTTCTACTGGAACGATTTTATTAATCAATGGGTTGTTAGATAGCTCACTCCCTAAAAATATTTTCTATCAGAAATACATTGAAAACGGTGTTTTCACATTTTTTTATTTGGAGGCAACTTTTTGTTGCCTGTATATTTTATTTTAAAGAAATGCAGTACCGGTATGGTAATTTGTAACAAATCTTATTCTTTTAGTATATCACCTTCCACTTTGGTCTATCGTATTTGCAAAAAAAACTTTTAAGCAACCCCTGAATTAAATGGATGATTCAGTTTTAATTCTAATAATCTAATTCAGTGATTTAATCAATTTATAAATTCAGCATTAAACTCTTGAAGTCCCATTTTAAACTCAAACAACATTTAACAACGAAAGCTACGGTATACGGAATACCCTACACCACAGAACACAGATTATAAAAATTACTTCTGTTCGAAATAGGAATGCGTGTAGACAGTCTAGTCAAGTACCGGGCGAGTTGAACAAATCAACAACTGGGCCTAGTAACTGGGCCGAATAACTCGTCTGACATACTCGACCCGTGTAAACCAGGCTTCAGCGACCGACAGCATGTGACAGTGACCGTGCCGTCACCGTAGACATCGATATCGATGGCCGTAGACCGCTAACTAGGCTATCTGTCAAAATCAAACAAATAAAAGCCTAGCGTAGACTGACTAGTGACTAGTAGCATAGACTAACCAACACAAGGGTATAACCAACATAAGGGAGTACGAGGTGTTAGCCCGTCCTACGTACGGGAATTCAGTAGTCAGTTAAAACCGTGTACAATTCAGATCAGCTAGACATATAAAGACAAAGTTTCTTGCAGTTTTAATGTGAAAAATCATCTTGTAAACAAATGTTGTGTGACCAAATATGTTTTTATTCCATCATAGGCCTATACGATATGCATTTTAAATCCGATAATTTTACAATAAAACAGCGATTCTGCAATTTTTACGATGTGAAAAGCGTTGAAGGTTGAAGTGAGATTTGCAGCCGATTCGCACAGACGCACACTGATAGTCTACAGCATCACTGACAGCACTGAAGTAGCCTACTATTATCACCACAATACAACTACTATACACAATTTCCAGTAGGTCTGAATAGAAACGACCTAAAATAAAACGATAGTATCCAATAAAATTCACAGTACAAATAATTTAACTTTGGTGTCCTAACATCAAAACTAATCGTCACACCTATCCTTTATATCAATTTCACTAGCTGCATTAATTGCTAAATAAATAAGTGTAAACAAAGAAAAGTGAAAAGTGTAAACAAAGAAAAGTGAAAAGTGTAAACAAAGAAAAGTAAAAACAATAACAGTTTGTTTTGAAACAGCTGTTTGGTTCAAACATTCATTTGAAAAAAAGAACTGGTCACATGTAGCAGGAATATAAAAAGTAAACACGCTAGTATAGCTAATGACGTAATTGTCAATGTTCATTATCCATACCGTTATCAGTTCTATCGTTGATAATTACCCACCCTCATTGAATAAATGTACATCGTAATATCCCATATTAGTTAATTTAAACTACAATATATTCATAGTTGAAATAAAAGTGATATTTTCACGTTTGGTGGCGCTGATAGGCACCCCCAAACGTAACCACAACTGATCACGATTTCATAAAAGGATGGTTTGTCTAATTGCAGTATCCTAGGTCAATGTTGACGTTGTGTTCAATCTATGTCATCCATCTGTTTATCTTTGAATAAAACCCGGCTGAGGTTGTGGTGGTAATTTAAAATCGTGATTCCTGATTATTCTTGATCTTCTTTTTATGACATCAATATTCCGGACCTAATCCAAACAAAGTTAAAGCAGACAAACATTAATTGTAAACAAAAAAAACTACCATGAAGAATTAAAACATGTAAACATTGTTATTTTTCTAATCTTTCCTTGAAAATTGGAGCAGTAAAATAATTTGCATTTATCCTTTTTTATTAAGACTCGTGTACAGAGCCTCGATTTGTACTGTGGTTTAATTAGTTTTGGTCTAAACTATTTTAAACTGTCGTCTAACTATCTCTACTAATCTTACTTATTTCCTATAATCAATGACAAAATAAGAGTAAATAAAATAACCTCATAGTTCCATAGTTTATATTAAACCAGCTGTTAGTTAAAACAAATTATATTGCTCTAAAACAAATCGAAGATTACAAAGATTCCTTAAAAAAATAATTTGAACATCCTAGTATTTTACTATGTCTAATTTAATTAATCTGCCATCCTCTTACAGAAGAATTGAACGTATCAATGATTAGCATTACACATAGTATGAATAAGTCAACCCTAAGTATGTCTTTACATTTTTATCCAAATGCTGAATTTGTGACACAAAAGCTGAATGTTTACAGCTGTTATTTATGTTAAGCAAATTGTTTTATGCCAAAAGCTAGTTTAGAATCTTAGCGTCGGCTGCTAGACTTTTTAAAAATTAAAACTTAATTTCTAAAAAACTGAAACCCTAAACTAAAATTATGGCTTCGACATTCCCTAGTTCTCAAAATTATCTTTCTTTCGATACAAAAATCATGAAAATCCGTCGATTGGTTGATTCAGAATCGTGAAATAAAAAAAACACTGTTTCGTTTTAATATTATAGATGTTTTATCAGATAAACATTTAATAAACATAAACAGATAAACGTAAACAAAGTTGTCGTTGTCGCCGTTGTCGTTGTCACTACTAGCATAGATTCTATGCTAGTAGTGACAACGACAACGGCGACAACGACAACAACACAATAAATGGTTTCCAGCTGATTTCTTGTTACTGATTTTTTTTGGAGGCTACGTTTAATAAAACAAAACATATTTCGCCAGGAAGCTTCGAAGTACACAATACATCATAATACATAAAAGCATAAATTATTATCCTTTCATTCATCGTTCTTCGAGAAAAGGAATTTTACAGTTCAGGAAAAATCTGTTTTTTATTTATGATCATAAATCTAAGAATAATATAATTATTGTAATTTTGTATTCTTATATTATTGTCAGATTCAATCTCCCTACCTCAGGCGATTGAACGAGTCCTACCTTACTGACCATCTTACTCATCCTTCACTCTTCACTCATATTTGGGTTGAAATACGCATCTATAGGTGGCGTCCCCATCAATGATTGATATTTTGATGTTTGCTTCTTGGCACGTCCGAAGATCAGCGGGGACAGCTCACTTACTCTACAGATCATAGACTATACGAGCTTTGTAAATAATATTGAAGGTTCACTTGCACTACAGGCTCGTATACTATACGAGCCTATCGAAAATAAAAAATAAATGAAGAGGGTTCACTTACTCTACAAATCATTGTGCCTATGAGCCTCGTGTATTATATTTAAAAATACAGTAGGAAGGTTCGCTTACTCTACAGATCATAGTGACTATGAGCCAAGCTTACGAATTATTTGATAATTCAGGAATCGGCTCGTATAGTATACGAGCCAAAATAATGAATAATATAAATTATAGGAATAGGCTCGTATACTATACGAGCCTGCAGAAAAATATTAGATGGCTCACTTACTCTACAGTTCATTGGCACTATGATCCGTAGAGTAAGTGAACCCTCTTCAAAATATTAGATGGCTCACTTACTCTACGGCTCATTTAGCTACTCGTTGCGCGGTTTGCGTTCGTAAAACTCTAGGCGCTATGCCCGGCTTCGACTGCTGCGACTGCCTACATAAGTGTATTGCATCACCTCAATTATTTATTAAAACGAAATAAATATGTATGCACAAGTAAATTTATTACATTTTTGGACTGAATACTTTAAAAATGGAGGGAGCATGACTTTTATGTTTAATTAAATTAAACGTTATAGAATAAAACATATTTTGACTAATATCAGGTTATATAATACACACTTGTATGATCCAGATACAGAGCTACAGACAAAACCTGTGGTCCGATTTAGATTAAATTTGGTATCTGGCTTTATCCACGAGTCACTAATTTTTTAAGCACGGGTTGAGAAATAATGGCAAACATTTATAAAAACAATTCACCCGTTTAAAATATTTCTCAGTTACTGTGAGCTGCAAAATAAATTGTATACAAAAGCATTTGTGTACACAGAAAATATAGAGGACTAGATGTATACAGAAGATGTATAAAAAATACAATACGCACACAACTATCAACGTTTACTTATGTAAAATTAATGAATTTGTTGTATTGAGTATTTTTTACATTATGACGAAGCCTTAACAAAAAATATTTTTTTTATGTTACTCTAAGGAGTTCTAGGGTGTTTAAATATATTCTATTTATCTTTTGTGGAAAATTCTGTCCACGATTTATGATTGCTAACAATTTAATACAAACATTTAAGTA